CCGAATCCTGAAGACTACAACTGCCGAACTGCCTTTTTCCTGCAGGGCGGGCCAGTCCTTTATAGTGCTGGCCCGTGCCGGAGGCTGGCCGTGCCAATGCCCTATGCGTAGGAGGCCGCTCTTGCCAATGCCTCCCTGGCCTAGACGCTGCGGAAGCTTCCAGGCAAGAGCCTGGAAGTTTCCCTGTAGGGAAACAGGCTGGGGCCTGTAGGCCCTGTCAGAAGGAAGCTTCCAGGCAAGAGCCTGGAAGTTTCCCTGTAGGGAAACAGGTTGGGGCCTGTACAGCATGTAACAACTAATCTGGCCTAATCTAACCTGCTAACCCATACTCCTATGGACCGGGCCCTGTGAAGGGCCTGTGTGGAACAGAGAATGCCACAGCTGCTCGTGCCTTGGTATGCCTTCCGACAAGAAGTGCAGCTATTGTCGCCTCAACACGCTAAATTGTCGAGGTTAAGCCTTCAAATCGTGCTTGTCAGCACCCCTCCGCTTCAGTCTCCCAACTCCAGAGCACCCTTTCATCTCTGTCTCACTTTTTTTTTTTTTTTTTTTTTTTTTTTTTCGTTTTTAAAGAACAACAAAAGAATGAAAGTTCATGAAACCCCTGAACCTCTGCTTTTTCTCTGCCTCCTTTTTCTTTCTGTTTTCTGAACCCTTGGCCTTGTCGTGATGATGATAGGACAATATTTGTGAGACTTTCTTTTTTTTTTTTCAAGTACCTTCAAAGAAATAAAGGTTGAAACCCTTAACCTCCGTCTCCACCCCGCCCCCCCGTCCTTGTGATGAATATAGGCTAGCACTTGTAAGACTGTACCATTGCATTTGTTGGGCAGCCAGACACATGTACTTGCGCTTTTCTCAGTGCATGTATTCAATTCTTGACGGAATGGTGGTGTGCAGTGACAAGCGAGTCTGTTTTGGTCAATATTCCGATCGCTGCGCTCATGCTTGCTGGGATGCGGCGTCTGTATCTTGAAGTTGACTTCAACTGGAGATGGAGACCTTCGTTGATGAATCGAGGACAAGAGTCAGTTCAAGGGTTTCAATCAGCCTCACCAGTGTGGCAGCCTCTGGTTACACCAGCGTCTGCTTCAACTCCGTCAGAGCATTCTTTCCTGCACCATTCCCCTTCCATGCCACCTCGTTCGGAAACGGTGGGCGTGGATGGTGTCTGGCGACAAGCAATAAATGCTCCAGCGGTCGAAGCTGCAATCGACGATCTGATGCGAGCTGTGCTCGATGAGTTTGTGACAAATCTCTGGTACCGCTCCTTCACACCTGACCAAGACGCGACGGAGGAGTTGCGCTTACTTCTCAACACTGCCATTGGAGAGATTGCCAAGCGTGTGAAGAAAGTCAATCTTATTTCACTTCTTGCGAGGTGAGAGGTGACTTTGACTATCTTCCTATGAACAGCTTCCCTTCTTTTTTTTCGGAGCAATGCTCTGTGTATTGATATTGAATTGAAGTACCACCATCACACGATGACCCTGTGATTAACAGCACTTTATGCCGGGAACATGCAATGGTACAAGATGTGAGCCAACCTCAAACTTCTGTGTTGTAATTCAATCCTAAGCAGCACCGATAATCTAGTGGACAGCAGGGCACAAAGAATGGCCAAACACCATCACCATATGGCCCCACATGCCTTCGCAGGATTGAGCTGAGTTAGAAGCGGCTGCTTGCAGCCCTCAGGGGGCCTGACCTGATGGGAAAAGTGATTGTAGGCAAACCTGTGCTATTGGCTTTGAGACATAGATTGCTGTTGGATTAATGGAAGCTAAAGGAAGTTGAGAAGTTCCAGTGATTGTAAGCAAACCTGTGCGATTGGCGGTGAGACATAGATTGCCGTTGGAGAAGTGGGAGGGAGCTAAAGGAAGTTGAAAGGATTAGGAAACAGAGCTGGAATCAGCAAGGGACCATGTTTCCTCTTGTGACGTTGGCATTCAACCTGCGGGATTGCCCGGGATGCAGCTTGTGCCTCCTTGCCAAGCCCGTTGTTTTTTGTTTGCAGCTGCAGTGTATGCCCGAATTGGCATTGGGATGTTGATCTTTGTCTGCCCGGCGAGGTGGTTTTTGAGTTCATCTGTCGGAAATAGACGTTGGCTTTCTCCTATCTTGCACACAGAGGGCCCATTTGTCTTTTGCCATGCAGCTTGAAACGGTTTTCACCTTTTAGCAGTGGCGGATGCAGTACCCAGGGTTCGATCCCTAGACCTCACCCTACCCATGTACAGTATCTGTGTAGACCCCGAGAATTGAACCTGTGACCTGTGTATTCGTAGGCAGTTGGTAGGCCTGTCGTAGGTCCATAGGCAGCAGGGGTTCGATCTGTAGGTCTATAGCGTAGGAGTCTTAGTGAGTTCCGGAAGCTTAGCTGTAGACCTTCTA